ACCCCCCCCCTCGGTCCCCTCCCCCCCCCCCAGATCCAGCGGCAAGGCCCGAGCGGCTTCCAGCCTCCGGGCCTCGCCGATCTCTTCCACCCCCTCCCCCGGTCTCCTCCCTCACCCCTGGCTCCAGCGGCAAGGCCCTAGTGGCTTCCAGCCACCGGGCCTCACCGATCTCCTTCTTCCCCTTCCCCCCTGGCTCCGGCGGTCTCCTCCGCCACCACCGCTGCTGATCTCCTCCTGCCCCTCGGCTCCTGCGGTCACCACTGCCGATCTCCTCGTCCCTCCCCCCACTCCTGCAGTGAGGCCTGAGCGGCTTCCAACCACCAGCCCACCGCAGAGTTCCCAGAGTGTTCCCTGCACATGCGCAGGGAAGGCTCTTTTACTTTTGGGGGGATTTAAATATCCCCCTGATATTTTTTTCAACGTTTTACATTTTTTTTGCACACCTGGGGACTGCCCCAAGTGTGCAGGAAAATCTCCCTGCCCCCTAGGTGCCCCCGATGTGCGGATTTAGATATCCGCACGCAGGGGGGACCTTTCGCTATTAGTATATAGATATGGAGCAGAGGTCCATCAGTGGCTATAAGCCACAAGGTATAGATAGGGACTCTGGGGCAAGTGATGCTCTGTCTTCTTGGTGCTTGGGGGGGATGTCAATCAGTGGGAGGGCTTCTAATGTCCTGGCCCCACTGGTGGACCTCCTGATGGCACCTGGTATTTTTGGCCACTGTGTGACAGAGTGTTGGACTAGATGGGCCTTTGGCCTGATCCAACATTGGCGTCTCTTATGTTCTTAGAATGCAGAAGTGCCCTTGGTTTCCATTCCCTGCCCTAAATAACATTCTGTTCAAACTTGCAGTTGTCCAGGTATTCTGGCCTTTGCCATCAGAGACCAAAGATCTATTGAGCAGAAATACTTTTTAAGATTGTATTTCATCTGTTGCTTGTAGACTAGAGGACTGATTGAAAGATGGGGCATAAATATGTAAAATAAATAGCTAGCAATTCAGTGACAAGGACTGCATGTGGACCCCTTTCAGCCTGCAGGGACTTTAAGTAACACAAACAAGTTTTGCTTCAAGAATTCAACATTAAGAAAATAATGCCCTCAACAGGAGATAACCTGGAACTGAGAGGTACACTTGGAATGAGGACTCCATAATTCAAACCAATGACTGTTTAAGACTTCATAGCTGGACATGACAGAATATGAGAGCTCCAGTCTTCCTAAAAAATAAATGAGTGCGCACATACACAGATACCTATTGCATGTGTGTAACAGTATGCACATGTATTTTTGTTAAAGATTTTTAATGAAAATATACCAGTAAAACACCTCTTATGAGACTTGGAATATAATGCAACCCATCCCGCAGTAATAATTCTTTCACTACAAAAGAAAGGACATATATGGATATACCATACCTGAGGTGAGGGCAATGACACACATACAACCCTACCTGCTCCCTCCCCACCGCAGTACACTAGACTAGATGTCCAACACAACCAAGCCAAACATCAGTGGATTCGTATAATTACTTTGCATACCCAACAAACAGGTTCCTTTTTACAAGCTACAGAAATTTATGCATTTGAGAGGAAGAGATTGTGACACATTAATAAATCTGATGAAACATCTGACGAACCTAATTAAAATTTGCAAACAATTATGAGAAGATTAATTCAGTACAGCTTAAACACATGCCTTATGTGCAAAAGTTTATTGATGACTAAGATATTCAGAGGGTAGAATGGTAGAAGCCAGACTGTCATAGCAAGCTTAATTAAGGACAGTGAAAATGGAAGATTTGTATTCACTTACCGTGAAGCTTCCTTCTCGGTGGTCCAGAGTGGGGCAGTCCGTGACTCCTTACTCCAGGGAAAGCACCTCCCCCTTCCGTAGGCAGGGCCGGCAAACTTTGATCCCAGAGGGGAGGGGCTTATCCTCTGATCCCCAGTCATACCGAAAGCCACCTCCGAGCTGCTGTAAATTCACTTAAAAAATAACTCCTTCCCCCTCATACAACTGGGGAATGCCATCACAGCCATGGGCTTAAACAAATAAAAACCTGTATTTTAACCATTAGAGCAAACAAACAGCAACAGTCCGCCACATCACGTAATCAGTTAGACCATATTCATGAACAGCTGAACCACTGCACAACGTCAAGGACTGGAAGTTGTGTCCATCAAGAGAGGGTGGGTAGGACTGCCCCACTCTGGACCACTGAGAAGGAAGCTTCACGGTAAGTGAATACAAATCTTCCATTCTCCGGTGGTCCAGGAGTGGGGCAGTCCTTGACTCCTTACTCCTGGGACATAAAAAAGCAGTGCTCCCCCTGGGTGGGTCACACAACTTCTGGTGCCTACAGGGCCTGAAGGAGCACTCTACTGTCAAATGCTGCTTCTGCCGAGGCTAGTTTGTCAATCCTATAGTACTTTGTAAAGGAATTGACAAATTTCCATGTCACCACCTTACAAGTGACTTCGAGGGACAGCAAGGCCCTATATGCCGCTGATGTGACTGCCCCCCATAGAGTGCCCTGTGACCCCATCAAATGCTGCTTCTGCCGAGGCTAGTTTGTCAATCCTATAGTACTTTGTAAAGGAATTGACAAATTTCCATGTCACCACCTTACAAGTGACTTCTAGGGACGGCAAGGCCCTATATGCCGCCGATGTGACTGCCCCCCATAGAGTGCCCATTGACCCCTACTGGAGGTACTAACCCCTACACCTTGTATGCCTGACTGATCCTTATCCTCCTGCTCAGGGCAGAAGTGGAGACACTCCTTCCCAGGGACAACTGACTAACATAACATTCAGTCTTTCTCAACCCCCTGGTCCTGTCCGTATAGAAAACTCAAAGCCCTACGCACGTCTAGATGATGCCAGACCGTCACCATCTCATGGCCAGGGTTTGAAGAAAAGGAGGGAAGTACCATATCTTCCTATCTATGGAACATAATATCTTTCATGGGACATGATGCCATTGGTTCAAACGGCGCCTTGCATAGTGCTCGTAGCACTGCATTTAAATTCCATGCGGAGAACCTGTGTACCTGTGGTGGATTGAGGAGGGAGTCCCCCTCAAAAACCGCCGTATGTTTGGGTGATGG